AACATTTTTTAGTTGTTAAAAACATCATTTTTATTATGGTAAATCATTTTTATAATGGTCATAATCCATTGGTATCAAAAATAGGATTTTAGAGCTCAAAAATAGCAATTTCAGACAAATTTTCGGATCAGAACTTCGGGGGATCGATCCAGCCCTCTGGATCGATCCATACCATGAAAATTTACTCCCAGGGGATCGATCCAAGCCCCTGGATCGATCCAGACAGTGGCTTTTCAGCCACTGTTCATGGTCTTCTACCTCGCGACTTCAATTTCGGGAATTCCATTTTTAGGTTCCAAACATCGATTAAACTATATAGAAATGTTCTCCATGTTTCAAAGATCATTTTGGCATCATTAATTCATAGTTTTAACATCAATTTAATGGTTTATGATTCTTGGTTCTTCAAGCATGTCAAACACAAAACTCAACCAAACGACCGTTTATGAACGTAGAAACGATCTATACGAACATTCTAGTCATTAGATATATCTACGGGCTTACCTCGAAGCTTATTGAAGGTTTTGGAAATTTTCCGGCGAAACTTCCGGCGAGGTTTGTGGCTAGCTCCGACGACTTCAACAACAATCAACAACACCAGACCACTCTCCTCACTCTCAGGATTGATATGGGCTAATTTTGAGAAAAAATGATGCATGTTTGAAGGTTTTGAGTACTCCTTATATAGGAGTTGATGAAGGGGAAGAGGACATTGCTGAGCTGCTTCTACGTAGGAATCGGCTGAGTGGAGGAGGAGGCGCCGTTCGCACAGTGTCCTTGATTGGGACCAATTTTTGGTTCCAGTCGGGGTACACTTTTTGGTTCAACTTTCTCCGAATTGAAATCCATTTGCACCGTTGCGATCAGACAGTCGAACTCTATCCAACGATATAATTTTTACATTCATTCGTTATAATTTTTCCGACACCACATTTTTGGGTGTTTGACTTTAACAGAGTTAAAATTGGTTTAATTGACCTTTCTCATAAAAGGTTCTCTCATTTAATTCATATCAATTATTTTCATGATTTATTTCAACAAATCATTTCAATATTTACATTCTAAACAAATTCTTTATTTACTTTTGTTTTGGGTCTGTACTCAGGTTCCCAATCAAGACAACACAAATAGTCCACATATTGGATTTATCTCTATGAGACTTATCCAGATTTTGATATTAGATGTCAAAAAAAATTTCGTATCGGTCCAAAGCCCAACAATAATTTATTTTAATCAAAACAAATTTGATTAATTGATTATTTATTCATTAATAATTCTAGGGTATATTTTGGGGCGTTACAATTACTAAAGAAGAGACAAAGAATTCGTTGTAAAAGTTAAATTAAAAGATGAAAGATATTGTACTATGGTTCAAATTTACACATCACAATTGAAACCTTAAATTTTCTTTTTTTTACTATTACATAATTAACATCTTTGTATAATACGCACGTGTTGTGTACATTTTACAAATTTTCTAAAATAGGGACTAATTATTCTATGGATGTTTGGCCACAGAGACTATTTGATAAATTTTAAAAGTTCGAAGACTATTTACACACTTATGAAACACCGCAGGGAATTTCCCAATATATTTTTCTTTTCACAATTATTCTTTTAGTAGTTTTCTATATTTGAGAACTATTCGATTAAAAAAGGCTTGTTTTTAATGTTTTTTAATTTTTTAAATAACATTTTAAAGTAAATATTTTATACACACCAAAAGAGAGCACATGCACAAAAAATAGCTCCAAGCAGTCTTAGCTCCAAGCAATCCTATATGACGTCTAACTGAATATGTATGGTATTAAAATGCTCAGAAGAATATTTTTTAGAGTAACTAGATTCATACCCGTGCGTTGTACGGAAAGAAAAATGTTACAAAATATAAATTACAAATATTTGAATTATCAATGTTTAAGTGAATTAAATATAAGTTTACTATACAAATAGAGGTTCGAATAAAATTAAGTATTGTACCACATCTTAAAATTAAATACACACAATTTCACGACATATTCATAAGGTCTCTACATATTGTAAAAAACTTCTTTATAAATAATATTACTTGTGATCTATGTGGTGCTAACTATAATATTTCTCAACAACATTATTGCGAACCTCTTATCAATGTGATCTATAATATTTCTCAACAACATTATTGCGGTGCTAACTTTCACTACAAGAAAAGAGGCTTTTAGCCGCATATAATTCACCGCACATTACCAAGTGTAGTAATAAAATTTAACACTTATCATTTCTCCGCACTTAAAAGAGTAGCTATAGGTAATTTCTTTTACCCACATAAAAAAAGTGTGAAAAATCACATAAGTGGCCTTTAATTAAAAAACGTGCATTATATATTATTCAACTTAATTATATTACTCCTTAAATTAGGATTAGAAAAAGTTGAATTATATTACTCCTTAAACAACTAATTTTTTTCAAAGAAAAATTGACGCAATACTTTTTCATCCACCTGCCTAATTAATCGATCTCAAACCTCAACCTGCATCTTCCTCTCCTGATCTATCCGGCCAATTCATCTACGACCTTGACCAACAGTAGCTGCGCTCTCAGTCCTTCAGCATCGTATTTGCCATCGTTTGGCCAGATCGAGTTCCTCTTCTTGAATCGTTCATCATCGTCTTCTCAATCATACGACCTGATTGATTCATTTAGGTGTGTATTTTCCTTTTACCTCTTGAATTTAGATTGGTTTTGTGGCGAAGTGCTTTAATATATGACTATATGAGAGGGTAAATTTCTATACTATATTGTAGAATTTGATCCTAGTGATTGTTATCTGATCTGGAAACTTGTGCGTGTTACTGTTGTTCCTAAATCTGTGGATTCATATGCTTCTATATTCAAAACCCAGTATTGAACTGTTGTTTGGTTAAACTTTATTAATATTAGTAATTCTTAACATATATTTATAATTCAGTATTGGGTTTCACTTTTTATCCTAGTGATTGTTATCTGGAAACCTGTGCCTATTATTGTTGTTTTTGTGCAAAGGCTTCTATATATGAAAGGATAAAACAAGATTCAGTGTCTGAATCGATGTTTTTATGCTTGTATATTTGAATAACAGTATGTGTTAAACTATATATTGAATGTTGAAGTAGTGATTGTGTGAACTATTGCTGGTTATATTTCAGTTTTTTCATTTCAATTTTGTAAAGTAATCTTCAAAAATTATTTAATATTGTGTGGTTGATTTTGTTACGGGCGTGGAAGCTCTTCAAAAAGAAGAAGAGAGGTCTGAGGCTCTGTAACCATATACTCTTTGCTTTGTGACTGTCAAGATCTGTTTGCTCTCTTGATTAGGGTGCATCAGTTACTTTCCTGAGTCAGTATCTCTGATCCCCTTCATTACAAATAGTTCAGTCCCCTTTTTAGCACCTATATATCCCCTTTCAAGGGCCTTGTCACAACCATAGCCTAACCCACTTGCAGCTGATATAAACTCAGCATTATCCACCCTTGCAACTGGTATATACCAGATACTACTTAAACTTGTAGCTAATGTATAACTGGTCCCAACCACACATGTTATGAACCTTTGTTTGTTCACCTCTAAAATTGGACTACCATATGTACTTGAGGGAGTGGAAAGCAAGGCTATGTTGATGTTAAAAAATGGCATGGCAGTATCCTTTTGTCCTTTTATAGCGTGAAAGATTCCTTCCTGGTGCCTAACACCTTTTATACCTTCTTATATGGTCACTGGTTTGTAGTCCAAAGGTTTTTCTTTAACAAATAAGAGAATGCTCAGTATTTGTAATTCAGATATAGTCTTTCAAATCTACGCCACATGCTTCAAGATCCTAAAGCTAGTCAGTATTGAACTGTTTTTTGGTTAAACTTTAACCATATTAGCAATCCTTAACATATATTTATACTTCACTATTGGGTTTCAGTTTTCAGCTTTCAGTTTTGTCGCCAGTTTAGCTTTTCAACTTTTACTACTAACAAATTTTGTGATGGTTTATACTAATAGAGTAAGCTTCTTATTAGGCTTTCAGGTTCAATTCTTCTAATAGGGTGTATGAGTTGTATTTCGTGTGATACATGGTGTTTGTGCTCAAGTGGTCACCCGCGGGTTTCACTTGTGACGGATTGCGTGTTAGATTCTCCATAGCACTGAGTTTGTGTGTTTTTTTCTCTTTTACTCCCAACTTTTAGCGTTATTTTTTATTCCCTCCGTAACCCCCCCACCCACCCGACAAAAAAATCTTAAATAGGTTAATTAAATTATAATTATTTCCTCTAAAAGTGTACGTTTTAACACTGAGCCTGTGTGTTTTTTTCTCTTTTACTCCCAACTTTTAGTGTTCTTTTTTATTCCCTCCGTAACCCCCCACCCACATGACAAAAACATCTTAAATAGGTTAATTAAATTATAACTATTTCATCTAAAACTGTACGTTTGAACACTGAGCCTGTGTGTTTTTTTTCTCTTTTACTCCCAACTTTTAGTGTTCTTTTTTATTCCCTCAGTACCCCCCCTCCCCACCCACCCAACAAAAAGCATCTTAAATAGGTTAATTAAATTATAATGGTTTCCTCTAAAAGTGTACGTTTTAATTTTTTTATATATTCATTCAAAAACAACTGTTTACTATTTTCTTTCTCTTTTTAAAAAATGATTTATTTTGCAAAATATGTATTTCTCTTCTAAATATATTCAAATTATACAATTTTCACCTTTAAATAGCGTTTTAAATTTCGTATATGTATTTATCTTCTATCCCAAAGCATCAATTCATCCTCTGGCTTTGTTGGAGAAATTGAAAATAGACCAAGGCCAGGCTTAGTACGTACCTGCAAATTGATAAGTGTTGTGTTCTCTGTAAGAATGCCGATTTTTTGTTTAAACCATGATATCATGCTCTTGAACAAAAAATTTGCGACTACTTTTCAGATTTACATCATTATTTTCAAAAACTTCTTCATTCTGATTTTTATGCTATTTTTCAGGCTTAACCAAAACAAATTCCAAAATTATAAGGGTTAATTCAGCTTGAATTGATTAATCGTATCTAAAACCAGTGATTAAGTTTCTTTTTGAGTGCAGTTGATGACTTGTGTTGGGCTGCTCAACTGATTGCTAAACTGCTTATCCCGTTCGTCTTCTCAATCGTTCAGCCAGATTCGAGTGTTCATATCAGCATCGTTCCTCTTCACAATCGTTCGGCCCCCTTCATTCATTCAGGTGTTATACCCCTCCATTCTTTTACTTCACATGTTATGCATGCCACTTAAGATTATCCCCTCCTAACTGAAATTGATTAATGTTTGATAGGACCCTAGAGATGAATGTGGTTGATCATTATCTTCTCCATTTTGAGAAAATAAATGATGAGTCATTCAAAAAGTGGAGGGCATGAGGGGGAGTAGTGATTTTTAAAGGATCAAATCTATGTTTTGTATTGATTTTTTTAAAAGATTCTAATATTTTAAAGGATTACAAAAAGGAACATCAATGCATGTTTTATACTGTTTTTTATTAAAAAAAGGATAATAAATAAAGTAGAAATCGCTTAAATCATTTTAATTGCCACTTCCAAGTTATTTTCTTGAATGTTGTATGAGAAAGAACTTCTTACATACCCTACTTAATTCTAAGAACCACCAATACAGAAACCAAAAACTTTAAATAACCTCGTCATGAAATTTGAACATATATGTAAGTACATATATATGGTTTGAACAAGAAACTTTTCAAACTCTAGACATTGACATTATTGGTTTAATTTTTGTTTGTTAGCTTTTACATCTTTTTGAAATGGACAAAACTTGGATTAAGATGAACAGGTTATCCAATGAATATATAACCAGAGTTCAAGCATTTGTAGACTTTGCTTTTGCCAATGCTGGAAACAATAACATGATTGTTTGTCCTTGCAATCGCTGTAAAGTTGGGCACAATCATTGGTTTAATAGAGATGAAGTCACACACCACCTCATGTTTAATGGGTTTTGGATATAGTACGTTTACTCCCACGCGTGATAATGCATGTAGTGAGCGGAGAGCTGTAGAAAAACAGAAGATGCTTGGAAATGCAGTGAGTTTAACATCTTTTTCTCCTAAATGGGTCGCATACTCCTTTTATGATTTTTGTTTCGATGTGTTCATGCATCATAACTTGGATGTTTACTACGATGTACATTGTTTTCATCTACTGGAAAATTTTTGTAGTAGCCACTAGGTAGTAGTCTAGTACTTAAAAAATTGAAAATAGTTTTTATGTTTGCCAATTGGCAGTAGGTATTAGTATTGGCAGATTCTTCCAATGTTTGGAAATGTTTCAAGCATTAGCGTTGGACATATTTGGTTTTTTCAGAACCGACCGAACTGAATCGATTTTTCTCGGTTCGGTCGGTTCGGTTATAAAGGAACTTCGGTTTGGTTCGGTCGGTTAATGTGGATAATTTTTTTTTGGTTAATTCGGTTTTTGGCCGAATCCAACTAAACTGAACCGATGCTCTCCCCTATCTCTGCATAATATTTTGATTGAAGCAAAACATAGATGTGTCACCCCCATGGTGACTAGATTCAAACCGAGTATGTCTTCCCTTTCTTCATTTTCTTCTTGTATTGTTGTCTCCTGCAAGCTTGTGTTCTTGGGACCCTTCACCCCCTGGAATAGTGGTTTCTCTGGCTTGGGTGCGTCTTTAGGTGTTGCTTTACCCGACGGTTTACCCTTGCTTTCGCCCCTTTGCTTAGCCTCCGAAACTGGCGCCTTAGACGCTGCGAATGGCGTGGGAGTGGGTGCTGTTTGGGCTCCGGCATCTCCAAGTGTATCATTCTGATAAGTCAAGGACGGTTGTTCAAATCTGGTGGTCTGGGCTACTGCCTTAGTCACGGCAGGAAGTTTGCCCTGACCCTTCTTTTTCCGGCTGGTTTCAGGAACACCCTCTGCCACAACTGTCACGGGAATGGCAGTGGGTTTATTGTGGGCTGTCTCCTTACTCCCACAATCAAGATCTGCCCGGTCCGAGAGAGGAGAAGTGGTTGCTGCCACTGGTTTTGGCAAGACAGTAGCACTGTCAACGGCCTCACTGTCATCACTAGTATAACTGATTTTCATGACTAGATAAAGGCATTTTTTTTTACACTTCTGAGTGGTAAATAATGGGGAGGTAACCCTTCACTTTTCACTGCACACTAATCCCTAAACCGTTGTTTGTTTT